TATTGACGAGTTTTTTAGGTACCACATCATTTAATTTTTCGACATTTAATTGTGCCATAGACAATAATTCGTTATAGCTAATAGGCATTTCATTCTTACGATGTTTGACTAAATTCTTCATCGAATTTTTTGGAACCTCGGTTTCAACCGCAGAACTTGAATGAGGATTGAAGCGATTAGATTTATTACAATCATTCAATTTCTCATTATTTTTCCTCAGAATCTTAAATTGTCTTAACGCGGCAGCAGCTAAATATTGAGATTGCTTTATTTCGTTATTCGACTGATTTTCCGAATCGTCCTTGCTAATGTATTTGTGTTCACGTTTTCGAGATATACGATTGTGTGGCAAAGCCATAATGCCAGATATTGAAAATACAAATTCAATACTATTAAGTATAAATAAATAGAAAAGTCTGACAACGGTCAGTTTGCTTTTGCGTCACCGCAATATTTATATACGCTGTTAATTTGTACCAAACAATCTGAAATAAAATCCGTAAAAATATAACAAATATAAATTTTGTTGAAATACGACGTTCAAATACATTTCATTTGAAGGCACAATAAACAGATGTTTAATATTTTAATTAAGTAATACTTATCTGTTTATTTACTTACATTATTATGGTTCGGCGCATAACATAATTGAACGGTGCATACAACGAATTAAACCAATTGAATATAAATTATATGTAGAATTGAAAAAAACAATAATGATGCGTATTTTGTTTTATAACAACTTTACGGAAACAATAGTTTATAAGAAACAAATCAAATGTTTTCTAGAGGATATTTTTACGTTGACGACAACGACGTTACTATGACGTAGTGTTTTAAAACATTCGTGTTGTTTACCGAAATATAGTATATATATATACTATATAAGTACAATATCTTCCGTGTTTTAATATTCGGGTCGCATTATGTTGAACTTAATTTTTCCCTTGGGCGTGGCTGACGTCGACCCCGGGAAATGGCTGGACTCCGAATTATAATCAAACATAAATGGGTCCCCCGGCAAACAAACATGTAATTTAAAAATCACATCGAGTTTACCATCACGATTGATCGTATTGTATGCACTGTCATTTGAACTAAATTAATAGCAATCGTAAAACTAACCAGAGTTCAAGTATCCGTTTAGAAAAATGTCGGGCTCCAACGCGAAGCAAAAGACCATGCAGCGACATAGCCTGCATACCTCGTGTACACGCACATACATGTACACGCATGGATGCTGGGTTTTCTCGATTCTTCGATAGGGGTTTATGATGAATTATTTAGAGGGGTTGTGATGGTACAACATCGCCCGGGCGAAAAAACTTTTGTTTTTGTACACAAATAGATGATCGCTCATCAACGAAATACTGCATGTCCGGAGATGTAAGTTGCCTAAATTATGTCTTGGATGGAATGTAAATACGCGTCTCGGCCAAAATCTTAAATATAATAAAGACTCGTTGGCAAAATAAAAACAAAGTATAACCAAACATATTTTATTCATTTTTTTACTAAACAATTTGACAGCATTTTAACATATAGGTACTTACAATAAATTATGTTTTTTTTAAATAAATGTGAAATAGCATTCCTTTGTCTTGAAAAATATTATTTTAATGGTTAGAGTAAAAAATGTATAGTTTTCTAAATTTTTCAATAAATCTCAAACGTATTCTGACACAATTCGAGTAGGTCTTATGATCGGACATCTATATGACTGTCGACTTGCGTATTTCGGTCTAGGTTTCTAGTTGTTTGACTTGCAAACTAAGATATCTAATATCTTAATAGTCATTGATCGTCAAATTCGATACAACCATAGTCTACGCCTCTATAGTAAACAGTTATCAGTATATTTTGGAAAACGCATGGTTCTATCGCATATTCTATCTATAATCTATGATTACTTGAGATACTACTATCTGTTGTGAAACCTAAAACCTATTCAGTCTATTAGTAAAAATGACGTTTGTGAATATTGTAAAATCAATAATTGCGGTCGGAGTTAAAAAGACTTCGGCATGGTTAGGGAATTAATATTTTGTGGTAGGAAGGAACGGCATATCTAAATTGTTTTCTTAAAATATGCTGGAGTAAACTATTTAGAATCAGAATATTTTCTAATTTGGGGTTTTAAAATCTCCATAATCCCACTTTGTTTTTAAGGGACGGAAAGATGGTGGAGGACGCTCTAAAATTTTTGTCCCGAGACGCCAAATAATTAAACATGGCTCTGCCGTTAAAGATAAAAAATGTCAGCTTTAGATAATAATATCGTTCAAATACTTAGATAATACATGTTGCTTATACTGTTGACGTAAATAATTTTTAGTTACGAATTTCCTGTTGACGGGTTTGGCCAAAAAAAAAAAAAAATTACGTAAATTACGATTTTGACATATTATAGTACCATTTTTAAAACCACACAAACTAAACATAGTGTTTTAATTGTTTTGAATACTATATAAACAAAAATATGTGAACGTAATCTTTAGATGATTTTTGTTATCAAATATACTCTCAAATTGTGTTACTTATCTGCAATACATAATAAGTATGTTAAATTCCAATATTCTCGCGTGTAGAATTGAATAAAATATAAATGTATCTATATACTTAATATGCGATTTGTTTCATTTAAATTCGGTCCGTCTCGTGCAAATTTCGTTATAAGAAAAAAATTAAAACTTCCTGTAGCTGGTGATGGTGTATTTTAGATTCCGAGTGGAACGAGGAATGTATTGGTATTACATAGATATTTATTTTTTTTTATGTTAACCATTTTTCTACCAGAAAGTATACTCTGATTTTCAAGTATAAGCATCTTTTCCGAAAAGAAGTGTTCTCCGGGTGGTACTTTACAGAGATTATTTTTTAAAAGTTCAAAATTGAAAATGGCAACATCGCGGAGTTTACGTGGAGTTAACGAAAACCGATTCTGAACGAAGTTTGTTAATATAATTGATTTAAAAAGCTATACTTTATACGTTTTTCAACAAAATGTGATCTTAAAACCATTTTAAATAAAAATTATTGCAAAAGACACAACTGTTTTTTTTTTTTTTTTACCACTCATTACAATTTTTAATGGAACTCCTGTTAAATTTTTTTTAATTTTCGTATGGTCATAAATTATAGAATATTATTCATATATATTAACTATAAATTACCAAATAAAAACTACGTAAAAAACTCGTAAATTTTAAATGTCTATAAATAGTTCAAAATGGCTAAAATTTCTTGAAAATATTACCACAGAAAAGACAAAAATAAGTTTTATGTCAAAATGTCAAGTCTTTACGAATATTTTTAACTGAATGACTAAAAAAAAAAAAACAAAATTGAACACAAAAAATAAAAGGGAACACATCATAGTTAAACTAATAGATCCCTCACTACGCTTCAAATTTAAAAAACACACTCGACTCACTCTCTACGTAATGGTTAATTTAACTATATCTACCCTAGTAACAGCTATCCATTTTTAGATACGAAGCGTATCGAGTGATTTATTGGTTTTACTTTGGTGTTAGACGCGGCTTCAGGTGGAGGGGCCACTGTGGCCATGCCACCTTCTTCCCTCCCCAAGACTTTCCAAAAATTTTAATTTTTTTAATACATATAATATTCCTTGTGAACAGTAAAATTCCGATTATTTAATTAGATGCTTAACAATTTTATTTTGCTTGAAAAACCAATATTTTTATGATATTAATATACGGTGTGTATCATATAGGAACGTGTACTAATTTAGAAAATTACCATTGTTAGTCGACGGACGGTTTATGTACCTACAATAAATGTTTAATCTTCAGTTAAAGATAAAGCATAAGATAAATGTATACACTATACATGTATCGACTATCGACGTATAGTTCTTATTCTCTTTCTTTTGCTGTAGCAATTTCGGCGTATAAACATTTTTATCGAGAATCGTTTACAAAAAAAAAATAAACTTATAAAATATGTTTTTAATACAGTTTTCTGAACAATATGACTTTCTCCCCCTCCCTAACCAAGTCTCTGGAGCCTTCGATGTATGGTCTGTGTTTATTTTTTTTTCCTGTTTGTGAACAACTTTTGTACCAGAAATCTTGCTCAGGTGTATTAAGTTTAGCATCTTTTCTGAAAAGAAATTGTATCTATTCGATACATTAAAGAAGTTATTTTTTGACTCTTAAAGGGGTTTTCAAAATACACAATTGGAAAAAACTAGAAAAAAAATTATAGGTAAAACGGCATTTATTTACGGTGCACTGCGATTTTATTATTTTTAATTTTTGTAAACTATATTTTCTACTAGAAATATTACTATAATCGAAAATGTCAAAATACCTTTGTTGTTGAATTATTAATCTAGTTGGCAAGTAAATAAATCATTTTTTGATTTTCTCAAAAAACCATAATGAGATCTTTTGAAATGTTTTGAATTTAATTCTGTTTAAAGATTTGTATGTAATATTTATAATTATAAATAATAATTTTTAAACACATTTTTGAAAACGTACATTTTAAAACGGTAAGTGCGTCATCTAATAGTAGGTAATATTAATGTTAAAAAAAAAAACCGAAAAAACAAAACAAAACAAAATAGATATGTAAAAAACTAAATATTACAATCCATTGAGTGTTTTTTTTTTTTTTTTTTCATTAAATTTTGCAGCTGTACACTTTATGATAATAACATTATGTAGGTACCAAATTTTTTATTAATACATATTATATTGGAGGGTTGAATGCATATATCGTAGTTGGTTTTTTCTAGTGTAGCTACTCATATTCACAGAAAAATTATGGTTTTTTTTTTTTTGTGCACATTTCTCCTTGACAAACTTTTAACCACACATTTTACTATAGTAAAGCGTGTGATTCAATATGCGCAATAATAATATATTATACACAATATTTGTATTACATTCATATAAATGTTAAATGTATCTGAAAATCTGCCCACCAGGACGAATAAATAATATAATGTATAGATTCGATTCACGATTCAAATGCACGTTTCTAATAATTATATAGTTTACCTACTCACATCAATAATTTTTATTCTGGATTAATAGCGTAATACCGATATAATATTTTAAATGTCTAAATGGAAAAACAAAATAGTAATGAAAATCGATTTAAAAAATATAGATACCTGCGTGCATCGTACTCGTTCCTTCGTCATTCGTTCAACAAGTCCATTTCTTATATTATTATGTTTTGACCTCGTTTTTATCAACAATTTTTAAGTATTTCATACCATGATCATTAAATGTAGTACAGAATATTAGAATCTATATCTAAGTACTTAATTGTACAGATTGCAGAGTGCAGCCTGGGAACCTATACAGTAATTTAATTACATAATTTTCTTGCAGTAAATTTAAAAAAAAAAAGTATGGCACTATCGGTAATTGAATTTTCAGTAAGCCGCCAGACGCGTACTATTTTGTAGTGCATAACTCGGAACGTAAATTTGCTATTTATAAATATACCTATATTATAATTATTTATTTTTTCAAACTTTTTACCCGTCGATTAGAATCGAGAGACTGCATTTTATATAATTATAATAATATCAAAATTGTAATTATGTTACGTTAAAAAAAAAAAAAAAATTTTAAAGACATTATTTGTATGTACTTACCTACATTAGTCTTCGTGCAATTTCGCAATAATAAAAACTAATCAAGTATTGAATAATAATGACATTTTTCGAGAACTCGTGCAGCCGTGCAACGAGGTATGTATGGGTATAAGCAGGTAATTATAATATTATGTTCAATAAAACACGCATACGAACATTTTTGCGTATGTAAAATGTAAATATATAATATGTTTTCCATAAAATACAATTTAATATAGTATAATATAACAAATGCATTCCGGCGGAAATTTGACGGGTACTTTGTTAATTTCAATTGTCATATTAATAACTGTTGTACCTGAGTATAACTGTTCGTTTAAATATTCATTTTTTTTTTTTTTTTATTATTGACAGTTTTTTTAAATAGTTACTTAGCTATACGGTAGCAATATTGTCAAAACACACGTTATGTAAACACAAAATAATTGAATCAAACAAAATAAACGATGAGAAACATTATCGATTGGCCAATTCCAGGTTGTGTAGCAAATGTTTTACACTTGCTGCTCACTGAAGATCACCCTTTGATACTTGGAAAAAAATTAACTTAACGTTTTAAACATACTTACTCCGGCCAATCTGTGTTTTTCAAATTCATTGTGTAGTCTTCATTTTTTAATGATCTTTAAAGTAAAATTTTCTGAAAACGTTATTTATAGCGGTCTAAACTTTTATTTGTATCCACTCTCCGACAGTATTGTGCAAAGATATCTAAATGCAGATGAAAGATAATTACGATTTATTTAGATACAAATAAAAGATATTTAAAACTTAAATTATCTAGATAAAGATAAAAAATATTCCGTTTTTTATCTGAATTAAAATAAAGATAGTTAAGTTTTATTTTAATATTAGCAACACTTTTTAACAACATAAATATATAATTTACAATATTATAAAAACTCTTAAATTTCTGGTTAGCTCTCCTCCTATTATTATTCATATATGATTATATCCAAACGTGACAAAATATACCATTTATTACAGCAAAGGTATTATATTCCTATAGCCTTTACTTCCCTAATCTATTTCTAATGAAACTGAACTTTACAATATAATCACAATTTAATGATCCGTTATTTTGTTATTCTTCTTATTTTTTCTTGCTTTTACAACCCGTTTTAACCTTTTACTGCTGTCTGTTTCCTGTACTATTCCACGATACCTTTTCCTATTCTAACTGTATTCTATTATCGTGTACATTTTTCAAATTTAGTCTTCAACATATCCATATCCACCGCTACCTGTGATGGTCACGAGGTCTTCTCCTTTAGATTTTTCCCATCGTTGTTAGTCATCGCCCAATTTTAATACTCCTGATAAAAGTTATGATTAAAAACCGGATTTAATTGCATTCAAAACACACAAAAATTGCCTATTAAAATTATATAATTACACCAAAAAATACGTGAAATTGCATAACAAATTGCACTACGAAAATGCAAGAGTTGTATAAAAATAATTAGATAAATGTTACTTTTTTTAATTAAAATTGATAATTAGATACATTTCTAAATTATTTTCATTGAAATTAAATCTTATATTATTTAAAATATATTTGTACAAAGAAAAACTACTCTGTACGTCTACACTAGTTATTGGTGCAAATTTAAAACAATTTAATAAAGTAGGCGTTATATGTAAATTAACATTTGCTTTTAATATTTATTAAAATATCTTCAATTTTTCTAGAAATATCCATGCTTTTCAGTAGTTCACTATTAGATTCTTCCAAATTTTTAAGATTCATGGATAACTCGGATAAGTGTAATTTTATGAATGCCAAACCACATTTGACTGCATTATTTTGTACAAGCTGTTTCAACTTTTCGACACTTATAGTATCATCTGTTAAACTTGCAATCATGTTTTTAAACTTTTCAAAATTATTTGCATATAAAAGTGCAGCACCTGATCATATTCTCCATCTTGTAATAATAGATTCAAGTGGTAAAGGTATACTTGGAATGTCTTTTCTTTATTTATTTATTCTCGGTGGTGTCACTATATGTCACTATGTCATATATATATATAGACTCTCTAAGCCTCTAAAAATTCTAGACGAACGATAAACGCTTATGATTTAAAAACGTTGGAAAATTACAAAAAATTACAAAACCGTCGAAAATTGAAAACAAATTTCATTATAAAATTAAATAGGCAAAATATTTGTATATTCTATATATTTATATATTTGGCTATATATTTAATCAAATCTGATTTATCTTCATTGCAAAAAAAGTTGCAATATCAATTAAATCCGATCTTTAGTTAAGACATTTGGATTTTGATATAACTTTTATACCTGCTTTCACGTTTCTTCTAATTCAGTATTCTGCACTTTGTACAAGAAGACCATCGATTGTCAAAGTATTTTCTCTTCGTAAATCAACAATTTTTTCCATTGCCTTTCATTAGTGACCGTGATATCATATATTATAAAATACACTGGTGGTCATTAGTTCAAATATATTCAGTTTTTTTATGAATTTTCTAGATATAGGAGTTTAAATTTAACGACATCTCCAATCAATAAGTATCTCCAATAGGTATTAAACCAGTATACACATGTTAACCAGGAATATATCGTTTATAATCCCGCTGGATAAGGTCGCTTTTAAGGTTATTTAAAACTTGGCACAAAAAACGATGCGCGTGTGTGCACGCAACCGACTCGGACACTCGGGACACTACATCTGAATTATTAATGGATGAAGTCCGTGTGTATATTATGATAACCACCCTCGCTTTCTGTCCTGTATTTTTCGCAAATGTTTACAAAACGCACCCGACTGTATATTATTATTATGATCTATATTTTATATCTTAGTAATAACGACCTATAAAAACGTTGCTACACATTATTTTAATAATAAAAATTAAAAAAGTACTCAGTGGCGTATATATTATTGTTATTGTTATTATTATTATATTTGCCTCGGAGAGCCCTTGTCCTTGATGCCACGACGACGGTATTGTATATTGTGTATAACTTTGTGACATACATACATTATATAATTTTTTATATCCATTTTTCACATATTATTATAGGGGGCGTAACTATGTATTCAAGTTCGGGAGAGCATTAAAAAAATCTCTCACCGATGTTTTTCTGAATAACAATATTATTTTAGTATTAGGATATTTTTTTAAAAATCGAGAAAATAAATTATATATTAAACCTTGAATGACTGTATCTTAGGCAATTTTTAAGATAGAAAAAAAAATTTAAAAAATCAAAGTTGATTGACAAATAAAATAGAACTTTTCGAATTTAGTATTAAAAATAGACGTTTACGTTTGTAAGTTCTTTTGAGGATGCGCACACTATATGGGTTACAGTTTATAAAATAGACTCCAAATGTATATTTTAAATCATAGTCTTCAAAAAAAAAAAAAAAAAGAATCCAAATCCATCCGGCTGAAATGTTTCGTGATACCGTCTGAGTGAATTGCACTGCAGTATATACGAATTCGACGTACTCCTAAATAATTTCATCAGTTACAACAATATAATATACATACGAATACCTAGTAAAACATTAAATAGCAGTAGGTATGATGGACCCATAGAAAATTTCCGATAATCCGTTTTGTTTACACAACATCCATTAGATATAAAATAATACTATAATGTATCATTATTAATTAATACATATTTGTTTGATAACGTTCCGCTAGTTATGGGCATATTTTTCGCTTATATAAATACCTACCAAAGTCCTAAATATGCTTGCAGGGTATCCTAACTGAACATACAACAGCAATATTAAACCGCACAGCGCACGCGGTGGGTGTAAAATTATAATAATATTAAAATTGATAGACAGACCGCGCTATCGAGAGTTTGCGGATTAAAACTTTTAATACGTCATATATTTTATAATACATAATACATATGTGTGTATATATGGTTTAAACAACCACGGTACTGGTAAAACTATTTATATAATGTTATGTCATGTCAATAAAGTATTGAGATAACTATTATTATACCTATGGTATAAATATATAAGGTTATAGTTAGATAGCCTTGGTTTTATATTATATGCGGTACACCGTACGCACAGAGATGGGAGAGGGTTATAGGTGTTGTAACACCTCCCTACCCACCCTTGTTTTATTACTTATGATTTCATATTCCTGCATAATGCATTGCAAATCAGTAAATAAATAAATACTATAGATATAACTACACATTACGTGTGATCTGAGTTGTATTTCAATATTCCAGAAGGGTATGCTGGTACTTCTGCAATAAGAGGTCACTTAAATGGGGTGAAAGCAATAATTAATCAATCATATTCATTAGAACTGTGCATACCATAACTGCTGTTACCATTCGTATATCCCATGTGTTGTGGTATGATTTCAATTTAGAAAGCTGATGGGATTATTCAGACAACGTATGTATTTTTTAATACACCTAAGAGACAAACCACTTTGAAATATTCCGTTGAATAAATTGCACCAGACACAAAAAAAAAACGAAATTGATTTATTTAAATTGAACGTCCAACTAGATTAATTCAACGTGAAGCTATAATAATATTTTAAGCAATTTTTAATTCAATCACTAATTTTTTAGAAACAATTTCAACATGGATTGATATATAAACTTCTTTTTAAGTTTAGATCAGTGCTGCAGTAGTGTCAACCCTTTGAATTAAACATAATAACCCCTTTATTGTCAATAAATATTAGGTCGAGTTCAGAATGGTCAAATACAATTTTTTGAGCCGTTTGAATTGAGTCTCTTTAGCCTATTATTATCGTTGTCTTAAATTGGTTGGCCAAGTAGTTTTTAAAAAATATTATTTTAGGTTTTACAATAGTTATTTTAGATTCCGTGCATAGCGAAGCATGTAATAGCTTTTTCAGCTTATAATAAAATTTTCTTTAATTATATAAGAGTGATTACCATTACAAAATTTATCTAGTTAATGAAAAGGGAGATATTTTTTTATCTCCTTTTTACGTGAATAAAATTATTTTAGCTCAGCAAAAATGCTCAAAAAGTCCTACCTTATAACTGTTGAATGACCATCGTGTACATCGATACAATTTTGCAATTTTTTTTTTTTTTTAATGTAGTTTTGGTTTTTATTCAGAAGATTTACTTCAATAAATGTCTTTATATGGGCTTTCTTGTAGTATTTTGAATCCTTTTAGTATTTTAAAGAGCTTATTTTTGACATTCTTTGTACTTTTTATAAAAATGGGAACAAAACTCGTACTCAGCCTGTTTTTTAAAAAGGAATAAAAAATATAATTATATTGCCGTCCTATATAAAGCTTAATGCGTTACAGTACCCGGAGTGTATAGATAGTACTTATCCCCTCCTTACGTGTTTCGGGCAATTTGTTTGTCGACCAAAATAACTACCTGCATTATCGTGCGCTGTGAGAAAATCGCTAATAGATTGTTTTCGGCCGACGGCTACATATGAACAGCCCTGAAGGTACAGTATAATGTACGCGTATAAGGACAATATTCGGGGGAATAAGTTAATATTCTATTATTATTATTATTATATTTACACAAATGCACATTACCTATATATTATTATTATTATTTTTATATATAAATGTATATTATTATCTACTACTAGTCTCTGGGCTGGAACGATCCATCATTCGCAGCGAAACTCGTTACATAAAATATTATTATATAGTTTGTGCGTGACGGGTTAATAGACGGAAAAATGGAATATACTCGGATAAAAGTTACGTTGTTGAGCACTTCACTCAACGTAAAAACTTCTTTCATACACATTCTGTTTGTCGAAATGTCGATATTTCTTGTCAATATGTAGGTAGGTAATATCCTATATAAATTAACTGTGATCCCTTTTGATATAATTTATTGAGTGTATACCGCTGCAGTAATCTATTCATTCGTGAAAAAAATGAATTTCACCATTATTATACTTGGTAAAATGCATAACCTATAATCTATTCAATTATAGACTATAATTGTTGTTACATCGACACTCGTAAGTGTCGTGGTTTTTATTTTAAATTTACCCATACAACATACGCACAAAAAAAAAAGAGCTGATACTGCCAATGGGTTTACCATTGTAGTTGTGGGTGGATATTTAGGAAGGTATATCGACTATAATATCTTCACTGAACAATTAAAATATGTTAATAATAATAATACTTATATATTATAATCAAATAATATCTAATCTAATATAAGGGGGGTTTTGTCCCCTCCACTTTAGTCTCTTATCCTTTCAAGCATATGAACAACAGTTATCGTCATAATTTGTTGTTTTATAATCGGTCGCAAACAATTTTTAAATAATTTCGTGGAAAATTTCTGATAATAAGAAAACACCACTCGGCATGTACATATTATGTTGATAATTATTAAAGCTGTTTCATCGATGTAAACTATAATCATATTTTACACTTATAAATATTATATGTTATTGTTTTAGAGTTATGGCATTTGTACAAAAAGCTGTCGCACGTCTGTACGAACCCGATAAACTGGAAACCTTATTGAGAGACTTGGGCAAGAAACACTATCACTATGGCGCCAAACAGAAATACGTAGACGTACGTATTATATAATCGACTTAAGTATATTGTTCTTAATGTTTATTTTAGATGTTTCGCGACGAACCGAAATTAATTGAAACCATATTTCCGCTTCCACGCAGCGCTGCCATTCTGAAAAGATATGATCTCTGAATGTCCTTTATACAATAAATAAATGGATTACAGATTACCAAACAACTAACTAACAGACAATATATTTATAATATTATATTATTACATTTATTATTTTAGCGGTCATTATGATAAAACTACTCACGCACCACACGCAGGTTAGGTTATTACACTTCTCAAGCGAGTAATATGAACTTTTGTTTAAAATAGAATAAAATAAATGGTAAATCGTTTTTGAAAATAAACGTTTATTTTCCATATTCCCATTTCAAATGAGCTTTATCTCAGTCGTACATTTGAGTCCTTCGTTTATTTAACTGCACTGGTTGACAGTGCCTATATCACGAATCTTGCAACTAGTAGACATTCTTTGACTATGTATTTGATGGATCGATCCGACCCTCAATTAAAAAGAGGGGATTCCAGTATACCACTATCTTCTATTTGTGTAATAAATAGTTGCATTTTCCCTGATGTACAGTATCATAGAGTTAATGCAGCCCGACCTTATCCCAATAACAGTTCGCTCAATTAATATAATAATAATATTATTATTAATATTGTAACTGTTGAAAGTGTTTTAACTATATCATGGACATAGCGCTAACGCTACTGACCTGAATAATACCGAACACCTGACGACCATTTCGAATCGTATATTATTTGATTATAGTCATCTGCAGTCTATTCCCTGCAGATAAGATTTCCGTAAAAGAAAATATATTGTATACGTAAAATGTATATATTATACACTCTTCAAAAAGTATCACCACGTGCAATAATAATATTAATTATTGTTACAAACTCGTATACAGTTACTAAACTTTTTTCGTCATCCATATTAAATGGGATGCTTAATATTCTCGATATTTTTTCTATTTAATTGACTTAGATAAACCCGAATACTTTTTTTGATTTTTGTATCAAATAATTACAATTACAGCAAAATTAAATTTTCAACCTGTGATAATAATAAAATAAAATCGATAAACTCGCAAATAAACCGACCGGCAGACTGTGACCGTGGTATATTTTGAATAACTATGGCCCGCCGACAGCCGACAGGACCATAATCGAACGTTTGAAAAGTCCTTAATATGGAACGGTTTTAATGACTTACTAGTTATACAATGTTGTGACGTTCATGAAATATGATTATACCGTAACAAATAAATATGCGAGTTTTAAATAGAGTGTGTTTACATATTTCATTGGCCATTTAATATTACTTAAAATTATAATATATTAGTTCATTGTAGTTTGTGCAGTTTCACTTAGTTGCGGGCGTGGGGGGCATTGGGTTTTTCCCATTCCTATTTCCTTAGAAAAACAACAACTATGAGTATTTAGTTAATAGTATTTTTATCTTGAAATTATATATTTTAGCAAATTTAAAAAGAAACAAGCCTTTGAATACCAATAAACTTTATTTATATTAGTTGTGGATTTTAAATTGTCATTATCTATCGGATTAGGCATAACAAAAAAAGATTAAAAAAATTTCGTCATGAATCATGATTATTACTTACGATATTCCCTCCCGTTGAAAATTCATGAGCACGCTATTGTTCTCATCCCTTAATATTTTGATTCATAAAAGAATCTTACCTACACTTAATTCTATTAGTAGTAATACTACTAGTATTGATTTACACCGTGAATCTGCGTGGTATAGTTTACGTGGTCTCAAATCACCCATCATCATTACTGTAGTTTGCAGGCAGCACGTGGTTTGTTATTTCAGAACACAATGAATCAAACAGAACACTAAACCTGCAGTCAGGTAGATATCACGATACACATTAATGTATTTATATTAGTTTATATACTTAGATGCACGGACCACCGATAGTTCGTATTGAATACATTTCGAAATAGGTAGTGATTTCGATCCGTAGTATACTACGTGAAATATTATAATGCGAACCGCATTCCGTGGTTCGAACTAATTATTCCCTGGCTCAAAACGATTTATATTATAATATATTTCAATTATAGTTCGTGTTTTAGTAAATGACTTATAAAAATAACTTTTATTTTATTATTTTTTAAAAATTTGAAGATAAACATTTTTATAGACATTTTGACGTATCAACGTTTTATTTTAATTAAATTTGGGATTTTTGATCATTTTTTAAAGTTCAGAGAAAAAAGTATACAGTTGATTAGCCATAATAATAACAATCAATATTAGTGAATGCGATTATAGCCTGCTGCATAATTTTAGGTACTTTTCTTTACTTAAAAAATTATTCAAAATCACGAATTTAATGAAAATAGAAATTTGAAACTTTTAAAAAATAATAAAGTAAAAAATTGAATTCATACATACGTATTTATAGTTTTTATTGCTGCGAGTAATGTAAAAGAAAAAACAGACTTTGATTACTATTATTATCTCAGGAGATATTGCAATGGGTATTTCGTGAGAGACCCTGTATAAAGGTACGTTCACGTAAAGTCGAGTTGCGATGAATCTATACTAAACTAAATTTCGAGCTTTAGAAATTCGATTGAACTTACAGTTGTCCGTCCGAATTTGTTCTACCCTATTTGTTTAGGTGTCTATAGTAATATTGCTCTAATTGACCGTGTAACGATTACGTTCCGATGCTCTCGATGGTAATAATCACATTGGTTCTGTGCTTTTTAACAATTTTTGGTTGAGAGCGTTTAGTCCCTATAGTATTATTCTAAATTCCTCTACGGCCAATCATATTTCGGAACGAGCATTTCCACGGGTACGGCACGTTTTCTATACAGTCGAAAATATTCACTATGATGTTATATTATTGACATTATACGTTTTATTTTATATATTACTTATACACTACTGTTGAAAATTAAATAAATATTGAAGTTTGCGCCAAAGTTGAAAATTTACACGAGTAAGACATGTATTATAAATACTATACAAACTCGAATTTCAGTTTGTTGGTCGTACAGCATAAATAATGGCTCTGCAGCTGCAATACACAGAACGTATTTTACTTGATGTTCATTTAACGACTCCCACAGTGTCTTGTAGTCGGTCTATTACAACATAGTAGACATTCGCGATCCGACCGATTTGCCTCCCTGTAGGTACATTTTAAAATATTGTATACACAATATAATCATAAACGTACTAAATATTACAATAATACAACGGATAGTAATACCGCCTCTATACATTTTTATACCTAATATAATATACTGTTTTCCGTAGCGACAAACACGCGCTATCTGCAGACATCATGCACCGGGGTTTACATCTCGCCTTGTAACCTCGTTTATAGTTGCCCTTTATAATAATATTTATATGTATTGTGCACGCATAAACGAAAAAAAATGGAATGTCGCATTTCCAGCACATGAAATTGATTTCGTTTCTATTCAGAAAAATGAAGTGCTACTTTACTATTATATATTAACAAAACAATAATAATAATATATTTTTTGATGAATTCGTATCACTTTGAAATTATTTTAAAACTTTTTCAGAATACCTGTATAGTATTAATAACAAAAATATTATTATGTTATTTTTTTATACACTCAAATTCAGCCACCCCGATTGAAATAAATATGAATATTTTGTTACGACGCACAAATAATAATAGGTGTTGGCCTACTTTTAATTTTTTGGAAAATGTGTATTTTTACTCTTGCAGGATTGAACCTTTTCCCACTAAAATATTAATCTTTCCTCTTCTACTCGATTTTGTTATTATTATTTTTATTATTTTTTTTTTTTATGGAATTTTCAGCCATCAGGATTTGCATATTATAGAAGCTTACATACGGAACGCAGTCAAGATATTTCACACACATTAATAATTATCATTATATTTTAATTAATGAATTTACTTACTATATATAATATTTATCAGACGTATGCTCGTAAAATACATTGACGTACAAAAACGGCCAGGGGCCTTTGAGTAGACAAACTCGGGTCGGGATTTTATTTTTTCGCCTACAAGACTGTAGATGGATAAACAAATTCGTAGGGGATGGGAGAAGGCAACATTTATTTTTACGTTCACGTCATAAACTTTCAATAACATTTTGATAAAAAAAAGCTGAGGGGGAGAGGTTTGGACCGTGGTCATATCTAAGGTAATATCTGATGAATTTTCTATCACGTTTTGATTTAAATAGCACCATTAAAATTGATAATCATTATTAATTTAAGCTGAGAAAGAGCATAATATTATTTATTTTTTTCAACTTATTTCTATGGGCGTTATTTTCTATTTACAAAGTCTGTTTTTTAAATTTAATGCAACTGTATGTTCTATATGGAATTCCCTCTTGTTGCCATTCACAGGTCAAGCTATCCCCGTTGGCAATATATTAAAATAAACATTTACAATAGATTTTTTTGGAATTTGAAACGTATGTACAAAGAATTATCCCGAAAACGAGTTTTTTTTTTTTTAAAAATTCAAACGATAAAAATACAGTTTCGGAGAAATATAATGATTATTGTTAGTTCTTCAGACTTTTGACAATATATAATGATCGATAAAACATTAAAACAAGATGAAACTTATATTTTATTATATTCCAGACATCGATTGAAATCTATTGTATATGTACCTATAACTTTTGTTACTTGAATTCCTAATGGATTGCCACAACAGTATTATCAAAAATGTGTCGGACAAAAAAGATTTATTCAACAGATATTACTTTTAACGTAGGTGTTAGTTTGATGTAAATAAAAAGTTTTCGTTATAAATCGTCTATATTATAATTAAATATGTAAGTTCACAAAAACATAATTAAGTCTTTTAGATTTTGAGGATGATTTTACTACGATATGCGTGATTTTCTTTTTTTTTTGTGTCTATTAAAAACTTTTTAATCAGAACTCTCGCTCTAATCAAACATTTTATGAGAATTTGGGTGTAGCATTTTGGATCTAGTTAGTGAAATTAATTAAAGTAGGACATTTTTTTTATTTTTCTTAATAATAAAAAGTATAATTGTTAATATTTACATTATTATTATTTACAATTGTTTATTATCAATATTAAAGAAAAATAGCATTATTTAAATAATAATAAAAAACAAAAATCGAATTCTTTATGGTATTAGATACAGAATGGTAAGAAGGATTTTATTTTATATTTCCAAATTCATTTTTTTAAAGACATAATATGTTATGTGTTTTATTGCATAAATAGATTTTCTGTCGCTCTAATAATAAAATTTCAGAATACATCAGTTCAATCTTGACAATGGTATATTTAGTAACCCTATAAATCTTGATTAGAATTTAAAAAAAATAATAACAACAATTTTGAATTTACGACGAGTTTGACATAATAATTTTTCATACAAATATTATAAACACAAAAACAATTTTAAGTCATATATTCGAAGGTTTTCGATATATCTAAAAGATTAATTATTGCATTAAAACCAATGATTTAGATTTATATTTGTCTGATTTGGTCGTGTTTGGAATCCAAGCGCTGTCTTAGCAAATCGTATATAAAAAATATATCAGAAAATAACGTCTATAAAACAAAAATGTTCTAGATGACAATTTCCAAATAGTAGACAAAATGTTTTTGAAACGACTATTCGATTTACTTATGAAAAAAGGAATTTTTTTCACGTGTGTCGATATTTGAATGATGCAGAGAGTTTTACAGCAATGTTATATTTTTTTTTCTGTTAACACTTCAATAAATATGCTCAAAACGTTTCACGCAGTAATACTTTATTGATAGAACATACATTTTGGAAAGATCATTTTTCAAATGTTTAACTCTCGATCCAACGCACGGAAAATTACGAGCAAAATAAAATGGCGAGAATGTTATATTGTTTTTGAACGTGGTGATATCGTGCCAAACGTAATAGGTCAACACTATTTGTACACTACGGTATAATTAAAATACCGATACCATTTAGATCATCACTCGGATGTATACAAATAAAAAATGTGTATTTTAAATTAGCTAACAATAATAAAGTATCATTTTAAATTATAAAATAATTTTCTACAGCACCACATTTCAAAAGCATCAATAATATCTTTTCTCTTCTGTACCAATAATTGTCCAATTTTCGCAGCTATTGTCTGTAGGCTCACACCAGTAGCGAATTTTCAACATTTTTTTGGAAGGGGCCCTGACAAATCATATGTATTCAAAAGATATCTCTATTAATAGATGCCTCTTTTTTGGACGATATTTTATTGAAATTATATCGGTGTCTGAGAGGATCCAGATCCCCTGGACCCCCCTCTCCCGTAAATCTACCACTGGATCACACTATTTGTTGTCACTGTTTAGTTTTATCCTGGAAAATACTTTTTCGTGTGCAACTTTCCTGCTAACTACTAGTCCTATCATTAAATTGTGTATTTATTCAAATTAACAGTACAATGAATTAGATTATCTCTATGACCATAAAACACTAAAAATTTTCGATTTTTAGGACAAAGTCATCAATATACGGGACGTAACAGGACTATTTGACATTTTTACATGCACAATGTCAAATAGTCGTGTTACACCCTATATACTACAGGCGTGTCTAAATTATGTTTGGAATTCCAAATAAAACGATTGTCGCTGCTTTAGATTTTAAAACTAGCTTAGTAAAAATCAGTTGTTCCTTATCAATTTTAAACTTGAGTTTTTATAATGGTTTTTTTCATACTTCAGTTTAAGGAGGCAAACTTTTCTCAATAAATGATATTGAATGTATAGTTCGAAAATGTATTTCTAAATTACTTATTTTTTATGTTTAATATCAAACAACATTAATCTCTCTGCTTTATGAAAAAAAAAAATAATAATAATAAACAACAATTTTCTATTCTTTATGAAAATGGTAAATTTTCATTTATTTATTTATTTTTTTTTTTTTTTGTACACACTGCACTTTTTTTAAAAACCTAATATAACACATTAAATATACCGGAAATAATTTCCAATGTAAACACTGTGCTAAAAACACGATACACTGACAACGAATGATCGCATGAACGTTTAACATATACCAAACGGGAATGTCTATTAAAATACAAATTATCGGCAACTGTGACTTATTTATTAAATAAATAAACATATAGATATTCTAACAAAAGAAAGATCCATATTGAAACCGTCCGTAATCAACCGTTTGGCCACCCCTGAAATACAGTGGTAATGGACTTACTCCTTCGGGTATGTGTATAATTATTATTGGCAAACTCTGTTCTTTTGGTCGTCCCCATCGCCGGGGGACAATTTGGCATACACTAAAAACCATTTAAACGGCACCCGGTATTTACATATTTATATTTATATAATTATATAGATATATAAATAATACATCTAACAAAATGTAGTTTAGACACGCGACGGCGCTGACCGAGTACGAGCATTTATTTATGGAGCTCTGGTAGTAAATTAACTGGCCTGACAGCTAGCTCATCGGTATCGAAAAACCGTTTTACACTTTCGACGAGGCGGCGACCCGCAATTATTTCTTTAATATTAACATGAAATGTTATTTAATTTGGATAATAGGACGAATAAGAAATGTTGTTCAATTGCTTTTTTCCCTTGTTTATTACCATTTTTTTCCACCCTCAGTGAACGTGGGATTGCCGGGCGTGCCGCGTGCGCTCGTTTTTTTTTTTTTTTAATTAAATACAGTGACCCGAAGTAATATGCCGATAATTCCGTAGACCGTGTAGTTTAATTCCGTGTATACGCACATGATTTTACCTAATGCACGGGACGTCCCCCGTGAGGTAATATTTTATCGTGAATAGGTTACCTATACGCGATTAAACAAAAATTGTTGAACGGATTTTATGGCCATTAACCAGAATAAGTATAGTTACCGGCGATATAGTGTACAAAGTAAACGTCAACGTTTTCCCTTCTGCCCGGGCGTATAGGTGTAGGTGTGTAGATATGTCCGAAAAGTTTGAAAAACTTTCTGTGTACTGCACGGTCAAACCACATGCCTATATATTATTAAACATTGCCAAACTTTTTAAACACCTTGTACATATTGTGTACACGAATATTATAACGCAATGGTGATAACTAATATAACGGTCAAAGTTTATTACGATTTAGACTTTAATCGATACTGAACAAATATAATATTCATATATATATATATATACATTATAAACCGTGGGGAAAATAAAATTTTGCCATAGAAACTATGCCGATTTGTAGGCAATAGTCGATCCGACGGTGGAATTTAATATGTATATTTTACATTTACGAAAAATTATCTGTAAAATTCCACCGGTTATCGCTGTTTTTAAAACACTATAATATACAAACTAGAACTAAAATTGTATTACTTAAATAAAATTCATCCCATATAGTATAATCACTAATCTAAATTATCACACTCGCATCATGTCTATTTATTTCAAGGCTTACTAACTGTATTTTATGGTTTTTAAAACAGAAACGAAAAGGTCTTTAAAAACGGTTCTAGAATTGAAATGCTTAAAATAAAATGTGTTGATGAAATTTTGAAGACAACATTATCGGCGTTTTTCAGAAAATTAATTATTAAATATTACCACCATTAATGTCGAACTATAGATAAATAAAAAAAGCAAACCAGAAAAACTACGTGTTTGCCTTATCATTACGCATGTACTTCAAACTTTAAAAATACCGTACAATAACCGTATTATATTTTGTGAAATAACCATGATTAAATCAAACCAAGTTTAATCAAATCATTTCTTTTCCCATCGTGATTTTATTGTTTATTCCGAGTCTGGGGCACGCTCCATTTGCGCAGAACGATTTTTCTGACACGCCTGTTTATTTAACCACGTACCAAACATTACGAATTTAATTTGTATAAGGTCGTTTCACTAACCCCACCCCCTGCTTTCTTTAGACACTCTCGCTATGCCACTGCAGTCATTTCGGTTTAGTCGTCGACATAAAAATGGATTTTGTAAATTAAAGATAAAATCATATAATTTTCCAACAAACAATAATATTATAGTATGTCGAATGTTTCTATATCTACCGTTTTTCTTGTGTGCACAGTTGATTGGACCGCAGTTCATTATAGCTATACAACCGTCACTTGTCGACCGATGGACAGAGGAAATACACTTGGCGTGGACATCGTTATTTTTGAACATGGCGTATATCATGAAGGGTTCGATGGCGGCTGAGGAAAGATTCAAAGTGAAGAAAAACACCACCTGAACGGTGACCTGAACTAATGTTTATCACGTCAATATTATTACACGATTATCATTGTTGTTTTATGAACTTTTTTTTTTTAAATATTATAAGTTTTAAGTTATAACTAATAATATGGATTATACAAGTTATAATCTATATTATTATTAACCGCAAGTTAGGTTAAAGTAGTGTCGATATTATTGGATTTAGATAAGAGTTATTGTATTCGTATTATTATTTGAAACACGCGTACGTTTCATTAGGAATTTTGTAGTACTTACGTATAATCTTAGTAATCGCGCGGTATTTTCTTCTGTTAACCGTGAGGACGTGATACCCGTACTTATCATCACGGCTAAAATAACATCACTTAGAACCAAAATTGTGACACAATTAGAGCTTAAGTACATCAGATAACAAAATTTAAAGAATAATATTTTCGAGAAGAGAACACTACATCACTATTTTTCTAAAACATTGTCAAATAAAAGAATTACGGTTAGGTTAGTTTCGCTTTTTTTTTTTTTAAATATAGCTGTAGCTCTTTTGTCTGGCAATATTTTAGAGAAAACGTAACGCAATGCCACCAAATATATTCGTCTATTTTAGTTTTGATGTCTATGCTTAAACTATAATTTCAACCTAAACGCCACCATTTTAGTTTAAAGTTTTAAAATTATTAACGTAATTTTACTTTTTCGTACGTTTGTAATTCGAAAACACCACACGTGGATAACGCGTCCTCTTAAAATATTATAAACGTTAAACGCCGTTTGTACAGCATATAATTATACACAACAATAATAATAATAATATTATTATCATCCGATTACATAGTTATTTTAATTCGGTAGAGGCGTTTGAGTGTAATCATATGCTAATTTCGGTGCAGTGTACCACATCAAAATATTATTAGATGAGGTACGGTTTATCGCGGTGAAAATTATTCATTTATCGGTTAACAGTTACTTTTTAACACAATTTAAGATAACATAATATTATGCCTATACTGTATGTATATCTAATACATGTATTTTTTTTTTATTTCGACGTTATACCTCCCGATTTTTAGAGTGCTTATTATTTTAAATTGCGTATGTATTTTTAAAATGTTTTATTGTGTTGTTAACGCATATCTATACACGTAGGTACTACCCTTAAGTATTAGGTAGGTATTATGTAATTACGTAGTTACTATGTTATTATTGTACGTTCATAATTAAATATAAATAATATGGTCTAAGTATATTGAATTAGAATGTGTGTAAAACTATTCCGTTTATAGCGCCGCCATACGAACAGACGTACAAATAAAATCACGAACAAAGTAAACGAATAGTGATAATAAAAATAATAACGCTCGTGGGATTGAATGGGTGGATGGGTGTACTTATTATGCCTTGCATCACGAAATGTTATAATAGTAGATACCTATCGGAGTTCCATTCAAATTACCCTTTAAGTAGAAATTGTTAACAGTGCGAACGGTTATAGTGATAATATTATCATAATTCATTTCTTGGGTTTTAAATAAAACGATTTCGTCACGTACAGCAAAATTACGTAATGTCAACTATATACAATTATAATATTTCTCGACCAATATCCATAAATTAATACACCCTCAAAACTTTGATTCTGAAATAGTTTTTGTCTTATATTTTATAATAAATACCATTCTTTAATTCCGAAATATACACGCGTATGCGTTTTAAAACAAAAATTCACATTGAATAATATTTTCTATATTTCGAAAACCATAAAATTACATTATTATAATATCTTATAATCGCCCCCGTTCAATTACATATTGGAATCAGAACGAATAATTTGGGAAATTGTACAGTTCCGCCTTACAAAATATCACAAACACTGTCTACATCGTGTGATTAAGGTGCGGTCCTACACGATCATAGTTCACCGTGATTGTTAATATCGGAAATGTAATACCGCTATCGCAACCATTTACTATCACTAGTGTTATAATATGTATATACCACGATTTTCAAAGCGATAGCATCCGAGAAAATTATAGTAAAACCGGATTTAGGGCTGTGTGAGTCTCCGAGCTCATATTAGATAGAGGCCATGTAGGTAAATAAGGGGTGGTTAACTTATTAAACAAAATAAAATTGTGTGTACTTATTTAAATTTACGAAAAATGTATTTCTAAACAGTGAAAGTACTTATTTCATGGTTGGCTCCATAAATTGAATATGGTGGTGACCTCTAAGCATCCTTAAATTCAGCCCAGAATGATAGTATAGACTATAGCTTTAATATATTATTATTATGGTTCGGTTTTTAAAGAATTTGGTAATTATTATAATTATACTACAGACAAAAATAGCAAAGTGATTTTTAAATTTGTTTTACACACTAGGGACTTTAAATATGTAATCTTATAAAAATTTTTTTTTTTTCCATACTTTGCTTTAAATGAACTTAAAAAGGTTTGACGCTCGTTTTCCACTATCGCAATAGTAAATACTAAGTTTCCCACTCTATGGCGATCCTTGTTATAATTATCTATTATCTTTAACAGGGTAGAACTTAAAACTATCAGGCAAATATGTTTATAATATGGTAGTAAATATTTATCGTGGTAGTGCAATAGTAACTTATTTCGTATTGTTTACACGGTGACAGTACCTATAATATAGTATTACTCTCACGATAACGGCTATCATACAATACTAAATATTGCAATTAACTTTTATCGTGTGACCATGGCTTTAAGTATATTAGAGTTGCACATTAAATGCAATAACGTGTAACTTTTGATTTTATCAATCAACGAAAATTAGAAAATCGAATTAAACTACCGTTCACATAGTGTCCATTTATCAGCCGCGTACGACGGACTAGACGCATATAATAAATAGAAAATTTCATACGACGCAAGTATATACACACTTAAGTACTTTACCAACTATATTATATTGGTATTGCGTAAATAATTTATACAGCATTATGTTTTATTTATACGACGAGTTCGAAACATATATTATTCTGAAAATGTTTTTTTTATTTTAAACCTATAATAATCATGTATTAAACTTTTAAAACAAAAATAATAATACTAAGTCTCACAAGAAGTTTAAAAAGTTTTTTTTATGTTTTTGTAATGTGCATTTTTTATTTTATTACCGTTACCGAAAACAAAGAATTCTGTGAACGGATATTAAATTATTATAGACAATTTTTTAATCACAAATGCTTATAATACTATTATATAATAATCTGTTACTATTGTATTAGTTTTACAATAATAATTATTTTATACAAAATTACACGAAAAAATAAATTAATAAATAATAAATAGATGTCGTCTCGACGCGTTTATCGAAAATACTACTCTATGTTTTTCACTCGCACACCGCAATCCTTTTCGTGTTTTACTATTGCAAAAATCACATCACGGATGAAGTATTCCACTTTTAAGTTTGGGTAGAAAGAGAGGGTGGAACCCTACTCAAACGTCGCCACACAAATGAAGTTCCAATATTCTCCACCTACTCAAAATAAAAGTGGAATATCTCGTCAACGGGTTGACGGAAATTAAACATTGCAATACCAAAAATTTATTTACAGTAAAATTCCATTTGGTTATTTAATGTAGGTTATTATTTTAAAATCAAAACTGGAAAAATTTGAAACCATATAATTTCACATCTGGTAATATCTGTGCAAATTTCATATTTTTTAAAAAAAAATAAGTATTTCATGGAAAATTTGACTGGAACCGTGCAAGTTCTAAAATCTTATATCTTAGACGTCCTCTACCCTCCGAGCGTGCCTACCGTGATGGTATTTTGAATATTCGGCATCTACCGTTAACATGTTTCCGTTTCGGAGAAATCTTAAAGACCATGCTGCACATGTCAAGACGGTATAATTAGTCCGAAAACTCATTCGTTTTAAATGGCTTCATGTAAATAATATGGTCAGTGTCATCAAGTTCTACTAGTAGCGTTAGTCTAGTACTTCCAGAACTTTAGACTTCCTATCCTATTTCTGTCAAATAGTTCTCTCGTGCAAAAATTCCACCGTTCTAGTCACATTATGGCAGATCTTTAAGCTGAAATATTGTATAGGTAAGTCGTAAGTATGAGTAATAAATTATCTATATATATATATATATATAAACTAATAAGTAAATAGGCATGTTAAATAACACCTGCATATCAACTAAATTATAGAAGCAGTATAAGAACTTAAAACACATATTATTATACTGTTAATTGTTATCAGAATCGGGTGCCTATGTTTAGATAATATAATATATCGGTTTTAATATTAATATAATTTTAGCTTGTTTATGAATAAATAATGAATTTGACAGAGTCAAACTGTTTGTGTCAGTGCTCAATAGATAATACTATAAAACATTATGTGATGGCAGAATCCTTTGGGCGTTTTCTAACTGCTAGGATTTACACAAAACAAGTAAACAAAAACTAAACGCTAAAGTTTGTTAGTTCGTAAATCATACAAGTTAATACAACTTTCCTCCGATTATTAAGTCAGTCTCGTTTATAAAAATAATATCAGTGAAAATATTATTATGTTTGACGGCATTAAATACGTTTATTAAATTTTGACGACAATTTAATAATTTTAGGTTATGAGTGTGATAGTGAATTAATACAAAATGTGTTTTTTCCATATTCAGAAATCAATCTTCTGGTTTAGTAAAATTATTTCGAATTCTTTATATCGTACCTTAAAATGTACGAATAGATTTTTCGCTGGATGGGCCTGGGTTCCATGTCATTTGGTCCGGTAAATAATATACAGTGACAATTGATCAGGTTCAAAAATAACCTGTACCAAATATATCCAGCTAAAAAACATCCGATAAAAAAAAATACGAAGTATTCATTGATATTTTTAGTTTCGTAATTCTCAAAAATGTAAAAGGTAAAAATAATATAATAATCTATAATATTATAGAATATAATAAGCGGATAGTCCACCTTGTATAAAAATTACAAAAGCCGGTGGAAATATTACAAATAAACGAATGTAATCAGCTACCAATAATTTATCAAATATAAATTATTATTGTGACGAAGAAACCGTAATATCCATGATTTCGATTTTACTACAGAACTAAACCTAGGCGTATTCAAAGATATATAAATAACGTAACTTATTACTAAATAAGTTAACTAACTTTGCAACTAAATGCCACTTACATTAATAAAAAGCCAAAAAGGCAAAATTAAGTTTTACCTAGCGTTTTTGAAAATTATGAGACTAACATTATATTATTTTATATTATTACGTCTTAAACAGTAACTAAAATATTAATCGATTATTATTTATGCTTATCTTTTACCTTTTTGAAAATTATAAAACTAAAAATACCAATGTATATTTCGTATTTTTTTTTATTTTTTTAACCGGACGTTTTTTAGTCGGATATTTTTGATATAGATTATTTTTAAACCGGATAAAATATTGGAAATCAATCGTTGCTAGATATTATTTACTGGATGAGCCACCGTGATTCTGTTATTTGAAATTCGACAATGGCCTACCGATAATCCGAAGTAGGTTCGACATTTTACTATTGTTCCATTAGTTCAGAAATTTTACTGAAGAAATCACATAAGTGAATTAACTTTTTCGTGTAGAAAACGACTATATAATAAATAAATATATTTGTATTACCTTCCAATAAACGAGCAAACGTATTGATTATGGATATTTATGTTTATACAATAAAAGGACTTTATTTGAATACCTACTACGTTTAATTACAATCTATCTGCCTAATATTACGGTATGGTATGGTTAATAACGACTTTAGATCTTTAAGGTAGTTCAAAAAAACAAGGGCTTGGTAATGGATTTATTCAATATTGTTTTTGTTAAAAGTTTTCGATGACAAATAATTCGTTTAATATTATCGAGCGTATGACGCGCATCATCTTGTAAAATATTATAATAATAATAATTCAAGGGAAACGTAGTAAAGGAAAATAAATATTTCCTATAGTCATTTTAACTTTACGATAACGTCATAAATCATTTTTCGAATTCAAAATAGGTATAATATAATGTTGAAGTTTTACAAGTGTACCTAGCAATTAGATAATTAGCATTTAAAGATTTTGTTTAAAAAAAACTGACATACATAATTTGCACCGTGGCCCGTGGATGAAAAGTTGAGAAGGTAGTATATATAAAGTAATTTAATAATTTATATCTATACTGAACGATAAATCACTGCTAATGAAAAATATACCGAACAAAATTTGGTTGAACATATTTCGATAAATCTAAATTGAAAGTTATATTAGTTTGCAAATAAATAAACAGTAAAAATGTTCGTGTTTTATCGTCTTAAATATTTTTTTAAGCCGAACAATTATTTTTGTCTACATAAAGCAGAAAATATGAGGCATGCTAAGTGATTTGTAAATTTGAATTTTAAACGCTTAAAAAAAAAAAAATAATTATATTATAATATTCAATTTTATTATACAATTTTATATTCAAATTTTGATTGATTCCTTAAAATAAAAACTAAAAAACAGTCCAAATATTGAAAAAAAAAAAAATGGTGGTAGCATTTAAAATATAGATGTAAGGCATTTACGTATATTTTGATTGACGTCTGTCGTGAAATAGCCATGCGGACATGGTAAATCAGCGACTACCCAATCGTAAATACTATTTACATCGACGATAAATTTTAGTCTGAAGTAATTTATGAAAATAATGATAAGCATTATCATGTGCCAAACATATCAGAAATCCGGGCATATCAGAAAAATTGTGACACCAATTGTCCGGTAATTACCCGATTTCCGTTGTTTCCTAGTAATTTATTTTTTGAAAGAGTATTTCTTTGCCCGTGACAATTTTACGACAATTAATTAAAATTTGATGTTATTAATACACAAAGACAGAACGAGTTTTTCGTTGTTAACGCTAACGGCAAAAACTACCAGATCAATGTTCAATATTATTTATTTCACGACTTTACATATATTTTATAGTGATTTAAAGTGCTTGACTGTAAATTTCAGGTATTTAAAAAAATGATTTAGACTGGTTTTTTAAATTTCAAAAAATTTAATCAAAATATGAAAGGTTTGTCACCTAGTGTAACATAAGAAAACTATAGAAAAAAAATTGAAAATTGGTGATAATTTTTTTAGATTTTTGCGAATAAACAAACAAATTTTTAAAAATTGAAACTCTATCTTACAAAATTCATTTATAACGTTTTTAAAACAAAATAACTTAAATGAAATTTATTTTTCAAATTCTCCGAATCTAATAGTTAAGCAATGTAAAAAAAAGATGTCCTAGGATCGGGTCAGGTGCAGCCACTGTTATATGTAATTTAATGTACACCTGTAATTAACGATAAATCATTGCTAACGACAAAACGATTCTGAGCGCAGTTCAGTTGATAGTGATGCTTTGTTAACAATATATTTATGTCATACTATAGTAAAACAATTAAATAAGCATTATTTATTTTTTTCAATACTATTTGTTTAATATTGTACCGATTTTTCCGTTTTTTTCTACGTTTTTCTCGGTTTTCCACATTTGCTGGAAAAATTCTTTGGAAAATCGAAAAATTACCTCCCTAAAGTACCTTTCTAGTCAGATTTTCTTTCAGAAAAAGTGCTATTATTTTAAATTGTAAAATGTGCACAACACATCGAGAAGTATTTTGAGATTAAATAGTCCGAGAAAACGATTACTTGGGTCTCTAGGTATACCCAAAATGCATTTGTGTTTTCCTTGTATAGGTAAAAGGGAAAAAATGCAATTTTTTTTTTTTGAAACACGGGTTTGAACTTACAAACCCTAGTATTAAAATAGGTATGTATAACAATTCGGTTACAACAATCATGTTTTGGAGAAGACAATAGTTATTCAACATAACATATAATATCTGTACAATATCAAAACTTCAAAAATCAATAATTTCAAAACTTATTCAACCCACTTAACTCTGACTTCACCATCGTTCTTTAATTGGTATTTTATATATATATATATATATATATGTTCAAAACAAAAAAAAAATTGAAAAATTTATTTGTTCGACATAATTTTTTACTGAACAATTTTCGTCAAAATTTGATATTCCTTTAAAAAAAAAATACTACACATAACTTAAATTTTTTTTTTTTTTTTTAACCACAAAGTTAGACATTTAATGAACCTACTGTTAAATTTTCAAGCATTTTTGTCAAAAAAATAAACATTTTAGTAAAACCAATGCATTCTTTGCTACACTCAGAATCTAAAAAAAAAAAATGCAAAACATATATATCTAATAAAAGATTATAGAAAACTGGCTATCTAATTTACAAAACATCAAAACTAATATATCTAAAATAAAAGTTATTTAAAAGGTTTACGGTCCCAATTAAGTGTGGAAAGTAGCAATATTAACTTTAATATTGTGTATAGTTGCGCATAAGTTAAAAGAAAAAAAACATTGTTTGACTGCACCTGTCTCTTTTTTTGTAAAT